CGAGGAGCACAGGGACTGGCCTCCTGCTGGGACTCCGAGGAGCACAGGGACTGGCCTCCTGCTGGGACTCTGAGGAGCACAGACTGTTACAACATGGTTGAATTATTTTGTAAATAATATGTTTCCTTTAATGGCATCTCTCTTCAGTCTGTCCTCACACCGTCACTTTTGCAGTGTGTTTTCTTACGTAAGTATTTATGTGGAGCGTGAGAGGATGAGGTCACATGACACGGTCACATGACTCCGGCAGAAAGGGCAGAAGTGCAGGAGAGCGGAGGAGGTGTCTGGGGAGGGGGAAGCCTGTATTTAGATTAGGAGATTCATTAGTGTGTGCATGTGTGTGTGTGTGTGTGTGTGTGTGTGTGTGTGTGTGTGTGTGTGTGTGTGTGTGTGTGTGTGTGTGTGTGTGTGTGTGTGTGTGTGTGTGTGTGTGTCTTTCCAATAATTTCAATTTCTTTGGCAATTTCTTACGTCCAAACGTTTTTCAGTCAAGACAAAGAACTGTTTGATTCAAGCCTTTACTTCTTTGTGTTTTGTATTTGCAGTGTACTGTAATAATGAGTCTATTTCTACGTCCATATACAGGAGAAGTAGAAAAATAGAAAGTAGTTAAGAAAAAGGCCATTAACTTTTGTTATTAAACTTGCAACGTTAAACTAATAAAGGACAGACCCAAAGTGAGATGTCTCTCTAGTTCACCAGACTGGTGCAGGGCCATGACCTGTTTTGTGAAACTGTTTTGACTGGATTCAGGCTGTTCTGAGCTTTAAATTAGGTATGACACATCCACAATGATTCACCTTTGACAGAGCTGAAGTTGGCTGAATGTCACAAATGATACATCCATCTACAGCTACATCCATCCATTTTCTTCCCCTTAATCCATTTCTGTCAGGGGGGTGCCCACAGGAGCTGTCTTACCCAAGGACACAACGACAGCAAACATCAGTGGGAGTCTTGAAGTAGGTCTTGTGGTGGGCTCGAACCCACGAACTTCAGGCTCAAAGGCCAATGCTCTACCAACTGAGCTACTGTCACCCCAAAAATTAGTCACATGAAAGTCATTTATACATTTTTGTGCCATGATCAAAACTACATGTAGGTTTAGTCAAACAAAGTCAATGACAAGAGGTTTTGACTGAATTTTGACTTATTTCTTAATTACCTTTTGCAGTGTATAATATCTAACTTTCAGTATATAGAACGTGTCACATGCGTTTGAGGTTTCTCACTTTTCTCCCACTGGGTTTTGTTTTTCTTACAGTTTTTCCTTGCCGATGCAGGAGGATCTAAGGACAGTGATGATGATCCAGGACACACACACACACACATTCAACGACATGTATCAATATTTATGGACATTGGTTCTCCGCCCCTTATGGACCAATGGCTCTGTGTGTTTTTCATCATTGCATTTCTTGTGTTTGAACTGTTTGATTCTCTGATCTTAGTTGGCAAATTCCACAGTTTTGTGAAGTCTGGGATTCCATACAACTTCTCACAGGAAATTGATCAAATTCTAAACATTTCAGAATTCTTGTCTATTTTGAGAAAACAATCAAAACAATGGAATGTCCAATCGCAGGCACTGGGACTGAGATAAAGTCCATTCATATATTTTCTTCAGCTTTCTTCAGCTTCTGAGCTTCATCCAGCTCAGTGTACTGTAAAGTCCCTCCAGCCTGTCCTGGGTCTTCCCCTGGTCTCCTCCTGGTGGGTAATGCCCCGGTCCAGGAGGCATCCGGAACAGATGCCCAACCTCTGCTGGCTCCTCTCGATTTGGAGAAACAAGGGCTCTACTCCAAGCTCCTCACTCTATCTCTAAGCCACTGTGTCAGACTGTAGACTAAACACTGCTGACCATGTGACCATGAAGTCTTCCACAATAACTAGCTGTTGTAATTCTTTTGCTAGCTATTTGAATGAAAAGGATCTTTGTGTTTTGGTCTCTGTCACGATCATAAACTGTAAATAATATTCAGTCATAATTCAAATCCAGATGAATGGGACGTGTTCTATGTATTTTACTTTTCTGTCTGCTCTGATACAATGATCCATGCAAACACTGGACGTTTGCATGTCGCCTTCACACGCTGCTATTTATACTTCCACTTTGGCTGTGGGACTTTTGGCACCGAGAGCTGCTTTTCTCCCGCTCTGGACGAGTCTTTACAAAGACCAAACCACCGGGAAACATCACAAAGTCCGGAAGAGATCATTTTGAGCCAAAGAGCTACGAGTGAAGCCAGTGACGTCAATCTGTCATATTGAGGCCAAGAACTTTTGTTTGGAGGAATATTTATTGTCAACTTCCTCCCAGTACTGTTTGCTCAATTTTTGATGACGTTATCACGGAAAAGGCCTAAACCAGGAAATCTCCATGGAAACAAGCAAGGAACTGCTGAAAGATTTGGCAATAAAATGTATGGATTTCAATAATAGGATGGATGTTGATGGACTGGTCTCCTACTGGGACTCTGAGGACCACAGGGACTGGTGTCCTGCTGGGACTCTGAGGAGCACAGGGACTGGTCTGCTGCTGGGACTCTTAAGGGAGCACCAGGACTGGTCTGCTGCTGGGACTCTGAGGAGCACAAGGACTGGTCTCCTGCTGGGACTCTGTGGACCACAGGGACTAGTCTCCTGCTGGGACCCAGAGGAGCACAGGGACTGGTCTCCTGCTGGGACTCTGAGGAGCATAGGGACTGGTCTCCTGCTGGGACTCTGAGGAGCATAGGGACTGGTCTCCTGCTGGGACTGTGAGGAGCACAACGACTGGTCTCCTGCTGGTGCCCAGAGTCAGGGCTAAACATTAGGAGTTTATGCAGCTTCCTGAAAATGTGAAACAGGCCTCTACTCTGACAATGTTCAGATCCATATTAAAAACTTTCGACATTTTCAACTGATCTTAATAGGTTGATAGGTCTGGGTGGGTTTTTTTTTGCAATTAAGCAAAATTAAACCTCCGGCTAATGAGATAACAACACAAGACATTTAATTGATTATCATTTCAGGAAGTTATGCATTATTTGGCCACTAAAACTGATAATGAGACAATTTCATGTCTTATGATGTGAGAAAATGTAGAAATGCCACCACCAGAGAGAGGGATTTGTTTTCTTTTTCCAAATTTGAGTGTGATGTCATACAGTGGCTTTTATAATGAAAAGGCAGAGTTATGTTTTTGTCAAAGGTTCCTAATATTAGCATGGATGGATATAAAAAAATGATCTAAAATCTGGTTCTGTATTTTGCATCATACATCACATTTCACATTTGTACTTGATACTTTAAACAAAACCATCATGAGATCCGCCAGAAATGGGACCTCAATATTATTCATTATTTTCTATTCAAAAGCAGCTCATCTTCCACTCACAAGATGGCCGCCCGTTCAGCCGGGCAGCAGAACCCTCTCTAGTCTTTTATTCGGTGCGTTGGGGAGAAGCCTGGGATTGCTGTTGCTATAGAAACCATGTGTCCCTGGATCTCTCCTCTTTTCTCCATCTCACTGCTCCTCCATCATCTTACATCCTGCGCTGCGTTATTTTCACCTTTACAGAAGAGGAGATGTTATTACCGCAGAGAGGGCTGAGTACAGTTCTACAGGAGACAGTTAGTGTTGTAATGTGACACACTGGAACACTGAATCTGCTTTAAATGACTCATTTGTTTATCTCAACCCTATACCCAGTGGATCACGAGAGCCTGACATGGTCCATGCGCTTTCAGTTCAATACAGTTTGAGATATTTATTGAACCCTTCTCTTTACATAGAGAACCTATATTTTGAAAGGTGATGAGAGCTGTGCGTCTTTTAGAGTTCGCAAATACAATACCCAGATTTCCCTTCCACACCGAATAGGCACTTTCAATACAACATAATTCAAAATATGTATTGAACGCTACAGAGCCTTTTATTTGTAAAGATCACTGGGATGAGAATCATCACCTCCAAATCCGAGGCCATGGTGCGCGACCGGAAAAAGGTGCCTTGCCCTCTTCAAGTGGTTGGAGAGGTCCTTCCTCAAGTGGAGGAGTTCAAGTATCTCGGGGTCTTGTTCACGAGTGAGGGAAGGATGGAGATTGACAGGCGGATCGGTGCAGCGTGCGCAGTGATGCGGTTGCTGTATCGGACCGTTGTGGTAAAGAGGGAGATGAGCCGAAAGGCAAAGCTCTCGATTTACCGGTCAATCTTCGTTCCCTCCCTCACCTATGGTCATGAGCTTCTTCCCCCTGGAGAAGACCCTGGGGAAGACCCAGGACAACACTGGAGGGACTTCCCAGGTCAGTTTCTCAGCTGACCTGGGAATGCCTTGGGGTCCCCTCAGATGAGCTGGAGGAAGTGTGTGTGGATCGGGAAGTCTGGGCATCAAAACGGTCCCAGGAACGACTCCTGTGGCACCCCACAGGTCAGGGCAATGTGATTCATATGAATAATTTCAAACAATTTCTCCACATTTGACTTAAAAAAGGAAACACAAGCACAGACTGTCATTGGAGCCACAGTCCAACTTACTTACTTACCGAAGAATTTAGAACTTCAGTAAGTAAACCATCAGGTGCCACAACTTTAACATTCTCAAGACTCACCTTAGTCCGACATGTAAACTTATCTCCATGAATTGGACTTGGGACAAATATTAGACATAGCATTCAATGAATCAGATTCAAGGAGACCTTGATCATATCAATGTTGTTTGGACTTGTTTAAATCTCTGGGTTGGCCTCTTTGAAATTACGCAACATTGTCATCTGTAAACTCTGATCAAAAACTGAAAATAAAATCCCCAGGTCAATTGAGCATAGATTGCTGCCTTGGTCTTTACTGATTCAAATCAAGCGTTGGAAAACAACATTACAATCGTTTTGTTAATGATCAAAACCTGTCCCACGTTGTTTTAGACATGACAAGAAACGGGTGTGACTGGAATGTGCCGGGACTGGAATGAGATTGGGATTTGGGATTTGGGGCGGAGGATTGTGTAAGACCGACAGAGATGGCTGAGCAGTTGGTAGCAATGGAGGACTCTCTGACTTGTCCGATCTGTCTGCAGACTTTCAAAGAGCCACTCACTCTGGACTGTCACCACAACTTCTGCAGCGACTGCCTCCAGGGATTCTGGGACCAGAGGCCGATCATGGACTGTCCCACCTGCAGAAGCATCTCCCCTGAAGAGGAAATTGTTGTCAACTTTGCCTTGAAGCAGCCGTGTATTCCAGCGGGAGGCAAACCCGAATCCAACGTGAGATCTGGAGCCTGCCCTTCACACCCACAGACAGAGACAGAACTGAAACAGCAGCTGAAGTCCCAGCTCCAGAGCCTGAAGAGGAGCAGAGAACAGGCCCAGACTTTAGAACAAGCCTACAGAGAGTACCAGCAGCATGCACACGCTCAGGCCCAGCTCTGTGAGAACACCATCACTGCACAGTTCCAGCGCTTACACTGCTTTCTGAAGGACGAGGAGGAGCTGCGTCTGTTTGAGCTCAGATTGGAGCAGAACTCAAAGGCGCAGCGACTGGACCGAGAGCTTGCCACAGTCACACATCGGCTAGCCTCTCTGCAGAAGCACATCCAGCAGCTGGAAAAGCAGCTGCAGAAGAACACAGAGGACTTCCTTGTGTGCCACAGCCCAGCACAGAGCCACACAGAACCCACTCAGCCTCTGCCTTCCCTGGGACCCAACCTGCTCATAGACCAGGCCAAAGTGCTGGGAAACCTGGGCTTCAGGGTTTGGAGGAAGATGAGGAGCGTGGTCGAGTTCAGCCCAGTGGTTCTGGATCCAAATACGGCGCACTCAAAGCTCCAGGTTTCTGAGGACATGAGCTAAGTGAAGAGAGCTGAGGAGATGAAGCTGCCGGAGAACCCAGAGCGGTTCAGAGAAGGCCTTTGTGTGCTAGGATCAGAGGGGTTCAGGTCAGGAACACATCACTGGGACGTGGAGGTGGGAGATTATCCGTGCTGGGTCATAGTAGTCATGAACGAGTCCGTCAACAGGAGAGAGACGCCAGCCTGGACTCCTGAAAATGGACTTTGGACTATTGGGTTTTACAATAATGAATATCTTTCTTCTCACGAGACACTGGACATTAAACAGAGACCTCAGAGGATCCGGGTTCAGCTGGATTACGTCAAAGGAACAGTGTCTTTCCACGAATCCAGCGACATGTCTCATATTTTCACTTTCAAAGACAAATTTGTTGAAAAACTCTTTCCGTTTTTCTTTGTTGGACCTTCGAATAGCAGCTGTCAGACCATGGAGATCAGCATCTGTCCAGCTCGAGTATGAGTGGATGTAACTCCTCCTTCATGTACATGTATTGGTAAATTGTGTGTTATTTCATAACAATAATTACAAACGCATTGGAACGGTGTAGGGACACAACAAAATGTATACGAGAAACAATTAGATCTGAATTTAGTACTAAATATCAACTTTTATTTGATAATATTTCAGAGCTAAAATACTGAACACTTTGCAATCAATGAAATAGATACAGTATAATACTTTCAACTCCAAGAGTCCATCCATCTTCTTCCCCGTAATTAATTTCTGGAGGGGGGGGGGGGGGGGGGGGGGGGGGGGGGAGTCAGAGCTATACCCAATGCTCCATGAGTATACTTTCATAAATGATTTTTGGCATGTTAAAACAGTTAACTTTGCTCTTATCATTGCTAATATCTGAAAAAATGAAGATATTGTTTACTATCTATTTTCATATTGGGACAGAAGACAAGCAGACAAAGAAAGTGAGTAACAATAATATAGCTTAGTACGTTTTTTTAGCACAGAAAGGTTGCTCAAGAACCCCACCAGGATGACTGCACAGTTGTAGGAGAGAGATGTTTTGTTGTAGGAATATTCTCGTAGATCCTGCTTTTCGGGCAGCTGCTTTTGAATCAACTGTAACTGTGTGAGTCACTGCTCTTTCTCATGCAGCTCCAGCACAATAATAGCTTTGGAAAATATGTTGTTGTTTCATTTTCGCTGTATGATTCCATACAGTAGTAGTAAAACTGTACTATGAAAAAAATCTCTGGAAATATAAATAATTAACATAAATTGTCTTATCCTTATATTATAGTCTGTATTCCTCTTATTAGAAAACATTTTATCTTTTGCATATTTGTAAGGAAGAACCCTGTGAGTCATTGTTTGGCTCTCTGGGCTGAGAGCTGATTGGCTGATTGAAGGTGGTCCTCTCTTTTTCACTTACCTCACTTGTCTGAAAAAACTAAAGATATGGCAGAGGCCAAATATACCTGTGAAAACTTTGATGGAAGCAAACCGTTTTAGAGCCAGGAACTATTTTAGTAAAGATATGTACCCCAGCCTAAAAGTAAAACCTAATAACTACAAGTTATTTTAAAGGGACAGTATGTAATATGCACTTTAAATATTGTATGTTTAGTGGCTGAGTGGATAGCACTCTTGCCTCTCAGCAAGAAGGTCCTGGGTTCGAATCCCGGTCGGATCAGGGCCTTTCTGAGTGGAGTTTGCATGTTCTCCCCGTGTCTGCGTAGGTTTCCTCCGGGTACTCCGGTTTCCCCTACCATTAAAAATATGTACAATAGTTCTGGCATGCGCCTCCTGTTCGGCGACCCCGCTCCCATCTCTGTGTGGAGTGAGAGGACAAGTGCCTAAAAGTAACAATTGTAAACCGCTTTTTGACTCTGGTTTGACTCTGAAAGGCGGTATATAAATAAAGATTACTGACTACCACTTACTACTTACCAAACTGGCCACCCAAATGAGGTCTGCATTCTGATTGGATTATTGGCTTAAACTGTATTATGTACATCATGTCCGTTGTATCATTAAGTCAGATCAACTCCAGTTTAAGCTTTAATTTGTACATGTGACCTGTTACAATATACGACTTTAAAATTACAGACTGTCCCTTTAAGTCAAGAAGTAAATGAACTGAAAACTGCAATTATCTACAAAGAAGTGAAATAAATGGAAAGAGTAGCATCAAACTGTGTGTCTGTCATGTTTTCTGTGGGGGTAAATCGTCAAGAGCTTTGAAGCATTTTGTCCTCAAGCTCAAACTGCTTCATTAATCATGTGACCTACATGGAGGCCTGCCATTGGTCAGCTCCTCTGTGCGACATCTGTGATTGACTGAGGTCCAAAACCTGTGGGATAAAACAGGGCATTGGACAAGTGCGGTTCAATGTGGGGTTAAGTGGTGCTCATCAAAGTGTTTTTTTTTGGGTTTTTTTTTACAGGAGTGTGTTTAAGTATTCAAAGCCAAAACCTTAAAGCTGGGGTACCTGACTTTCTTGTTTTACAAATTATACACATTTTGTTCCTACAAGAAAGAGTCTGAAAGTCTAAAGTTTGTGAGTAAATCAGACCGCAACATGACGTCCTCATCGCATTAGAAAACATGTGATCCTTTACATACTTGTAAGAGTGAGCCCTGTGAGTCACTTTTTTGACGCTACAAGGCTGATTGGCTGAGTGAGGGTGATGTCACATACTAAGATGAAGGAGGACCCAAAATGCAGAAATGCAAATGAAATAATGATTTGATTAAGTTGATCAAATAAAAGTCCAAGGGAAAAACAAACTTAATAAAAAAATTGAAATGAAAGACAGAAAACAGACAAACAAAGACATAGACAGACAAAGACTACAGACCAGTAACAAGGGCAGACGAGCACAGGTACATATAGACACAGGGAGACACAGACAGGGGTGGGGTTGACAATCAACCAGGGGAACGGGACAGGAAGTTAAACTAGAATGAAACCACAGAGAACTGAAATCAAATATTTCCGGAAGACACCGTGGCTGAGTGGAAAGTTTGCTTGTTCTTCCCATGTCTGCGTGGTTTCCTCCTGGTGCTCCCCTTTCCCCAACTATTAAAAATAACAGTTTTCAACAGGTTTCCCATCTCTGTGTGGACGGAGAGACAATTTCCCATCACAATTGTGAAGCAATTTTTGACTCTTGTCTGTGAAAGGTGCAAAAATAAAATCCACACGACAGATGGTCCTCTTTGAAACTGTATAGAATTGTACTTTTGAAATTTGAAAATGCCAGTGTTTTATATTTTATATATTTATATTTATATTTTATAGCTTAATTTCCACTGAGCACAAACATGTAACAATATTAACTCTCCGACCAAAGATGACTAGAATTTAGACAGAAATAAAACTGTTTGATTTGTGATTCAGGTGAAGAAGGTCATAAAACGTTGCATAATGACGCTCTGCTCTCTCCTTTATGAAGTTGTCCTTGTGAAAAAGAATTTATATTGCTCCATAACTTGTGGCGCCGCCTTCATGTTAGAGCCAGATCCTGTCCGAACCTCTGAAGCTAAGCAGTATTGTGCCTGGTTAGTACAGTGATGGGATACCTCAGGGAACACCAGGTGCCGCAGTGGGACGGCTGCCGTTGTAAAGTGTCAAACCACTGTTGTGTCCTTAGGCAAGACACTTCACCCACGTTGCATAGAATGAGTCTGGTTTGTGTGTGTGAATATTTGGTGTAAATAATTGGTGATTGGAAGAATCTTTGAATGTCCGAAAAAGGCACCTTTTAAAACAATGCTTTTTTGTTATTAAGTTGCCGTAGTCCATTAAGATGCGATTCCCTCTGGTCCTGGCTGTACTGCACTGTGACGGCAGAAGACTTATTATAAATGTCAGAAGATTGTTTTGACCCTTTTATTTTCTTCCCGGGCTAAAAAGGCGACACGCATCAAAACAACTTGCCAACCTTTGCTACTTTTGTCCCAGGTCGATATGAAAAGCGGAACATTGGAAGAATATTGCTACGACTTGTTTAAAACACAATTGTTAGTAGAATTGTTGGATTTTCATTAAAGTGAATTAGAATATATTCAAAGTTTAGACAGTTTTGAGTTAACCTATGTGTGTGATGGGATGTGATGGGCGCATCAGCAGCATTCTCTCCCATCCCCCCCAGTCATGAAACACAGGAAGTTAAATTAAGAAGAGCGTAGAGAGCATCTGTTTGGAGTGGCCTCGGGCTTGCTTTGAGAGGGGCTATGTGTTTGCCCTGAACAGAGAAGCTATTGTCTTCACCTAAGGATGTTGGGACATGTGTTTCAAATTATCAGGGTATAAGGACAGAGCTTTTGGTTCATTCTTTGTCACTCTTCTGCTGTTTTCCATCCAGCAGAGACCCGGACTAGATTGTAGTCTGTAAAACTTGTCTGTTTGTGCTGATGTCCAGATAACCTGTAGTTTTGAACCAGCGGCTGACAACATGTATTCAAGAGATTATGTTGTTGAAATGTGACTAGTTTTTTCACAATATTTTGGTCCTTCTTGCGCCGGATGCCAACATGCTTTTCTGCGGAGCTGAGGATGCCTCAAACATGGAGTTGGAGCAGCGGTGAGGTCTTCTTCATTCAGAACTGCTTTGAGGACTCCATCTTTGAGGCATGGCCAGTCTCCGGATTGAAGTTGACGGCAGAACTAGAGTTTCTGGACATCCACATGGACAAGGTAAAACAAATTTTTCCTAAAAAAAAAAGAAACTAAATTTAAATCGTCTTTGAAGGCAGGAAATCCAATTTATCTTCTCAAAAAGCATTGGGGCAGTGAGATATCACGCACTTCTAAGAAAGTGGAGAATTTAAACTTCTATCCACTGGGACTTTTGAAGTCGGGGACTCAAAAAAGAGGCCGCGGATAACGAGGCTTATCCTTTTAATAGTCGATGGCTATTTCTTAGGCCTAGGATAACGAGGCTTATCCTTCTAATAGTCGAGGAGCTATTACAAATTCAGCACTATGGACGCATACGTGTAGTTGGAAAACCAGATCTGGCCATTTGAGGGAAAAATG